TCGTCGCTGGAGCACAAGGCCCCACCGCTTGCCAGCCGCCCGCCTCCTCATTCACGACGATTCCGGGAGCCAGGGACGATAAGACGCACCAGCCCTCGGCCCAGCGATCCACCATTCTGTAGGGCGGATGAGATAGTTAGTCCAACAACCGAGTCGTGCAAGGTGCCAACAAGGGACTTCCTCCCTGAACTTTCCTCAGCACGTGACTTCACCGGCTTGTCAGTGGAGTGTACTCCCCGGTGGCTGAGAGGACAAAGCGATGGTGACCCAACCGCGAGGTGGTGTCCTTGGAGCCTGAAGCTGCCACAAACCTTCGAACCTCAAACTTGTTCATGACAACGTGCCAAAATGTGCTTCTCCTTGACCAACTAATTTATTACGATGGTTACGCAAAACAAATGTCAGAAACGCTGCACACCAGTGGTTTGGACCATGTTTTGAGTAAATATTCCCCTCGTACTGACGCCCGACTTGAGAATTCCGAGGGGCTTTCAACTTTAAGGAGAAGGCAAAATGACTTCGCACCAGTGCAGAATTGATTGAGGACTGTCGCAAAAATACCGCACTGCAGATGAGGGATGTCTCTTCTACAGCACCCAAGTTGACCGTGACAGCTGCGACTTCAGCTTGCGGGCGTAGCTCGTGCACTTGCCCTGACACGTATTCGTCGTACGGATGTAACAACTGCAACCGCTTCTGAGACGGCATTGCAGAGCCAACCGTGTCGAGAAGATCTGTCGTCAGATCTCCAAACACTTCACCAGCTTCCTCTGAGGCGGCCGCAGTCCGTACCAGCCGGCAACTGACGTGAGCGGAGTGGAAAAAGCAAGCAAACTGGTGCAAAACGTCACCGGCAGAGACTTGGACGGCAGGGCCGCAGGGTTTCCTGCAGCCACTCGGGCACCACCAGCAGACCTAGGGCGCTTTGCCTAAGATATGATCATGTGGAGCTTTAGAAAATCACTCATATCAGAAGGCGTGGCGGTAGCGCAAATGAACGTGAATCAACCGTATTTCACGTGACACGAGTGACTAATAACGATTTGCGTTCCACCGGTGATCCCAAAAACATGACAGCCTTGCATGTCGCAAACTAGTAAATAACGTCCAAGACCAGCTGTGATTCAGACCCTCGGCCCCAGTTATTCATGGTGGCCTATTGACATGATACCCCGGTAATAGTTCATTCAGAAAGTTGAAATTTCTGACTTCCGTATGGTGCGTAAGATTCGTGGGTGGCGTTATCTTGCTGTTTCGCACAATACGCCAAAGAAGACTTCAACGTGAAAGTATCGCGACGGTATCCTGGTGTTTTAACAACGTGATGATGTCCGTTTTTAAACTGCCCTACCCATCCATGGGTTATAATGCTGCCTTGATTCTTTAGAAGCCAGTTTTGAGGCATGATGCAGCTCCAAGAAAGTGCGTGCACGGTTTTTTGGTGAAAGGCTTCGATAAAACCCTGTTTTTTCTTCAACGCATAAATGCATGGAAAGCTGGACCAGGATAGATTTAACAAGACGTGGTACAAAGTAAATATTATTTGATTGTCTTCTTTGCTGAATCAAATACTTCTGCAAAAGCTTACGCCAGCAGCAGAGTTTCTTCACGATAGACATCAGCCATGCATTTCTGTCACCCTGCGTATCACATTTAGCATGCCTGGAAACGCTTTTCAAACCATAAAGCGCAGTTAGACTAGATATCTGCTCAGGCCTACATGTAGCATACATTAACGTCGCCAGGCTAGATGCCGGCGCGCGGAGTACATTTTGTTCACTTGCAGCTTGTAAGTACAGCTGTTGTACCCCGGCAACAGGGTCGTGTTAGATGTGATGATATATTCGCATGAACATTGCGCGAAGCTTACAAAGCAAGCGTGAGGATCAGTCGGGGCAACTAAGCTGTCGTACAACGTTAAACACTTCGCACAGGCCTTTGTCTACTGGAAGGTTTATTGCTCAAAACCGATTCAAATGTCAGAACGGTTTTGTCAAGTAGCGTAAAAACACTTTCCGTACGATTTTTTTACCAAAGGAGACAGAACCCTCCAGGAGTCATAACTGTCACCGCTGTCCATTGTGTGGGCCGCTGCAAAGGCTTTGTTGCATCTGCAATGCGCCGATCGGCCCGGCGCCGTCGGGCTGTGTGGCGGAGGACGCGGTGACCGTCCTTGGCGCCGGGTATTTTCGTATGGTCACATCCGCGCCGCGCCGGCAGCGTGATCCGAGCCGAGCGGCACGGCGCGGCGCAGAGGGCGCCTGGAGGAGGCCACCCGCGGACGGCACGGAGGCGTGGGCCGCGTCGCCGCGAGCGAGCGACGGCCGGTGGACATCCTGCACCCTGTCAGAGGGCATGTGTCGACCAGCGGTAGCGTTGGGGGTCAAGGGGGATGAAAAGAAACACTTGTCATAGCACCAGTTGTGCTGGTCCGTCTAGTCTCGACATACAACACAGGTAGGCCATCAATCTCAGGAAGTTTGTCAGATATGCACTTAATGGAAAAAACAGTGCTGCAAACATTTATTGTATCGGCATAGAGAGGCCTCGTGGGGAAGCGGGGGATTAATTTAAGATCCAATAGGCACGAAGAAACTCACAAAGCAAATGCAAGCGATGCGTGTGAGTGGGATGCAACGCGAACGACTTGGATCTGATGAAGGCGATTTGACAAACTGAAGTCCACCTGTGCATGTTTGTGTATGTGGGTAACTCTTCGCTACTGCAAACTGTGGTCAAAGAGCGGCATCGTCCCTTTCCTTATGCGACGTCCCTGACATAGCATTAGTCGACGCTTAACTCCTCTTTTCAAATATGGCCTCAGTCTTAGAGCTCTTGGGTTCCGGCACGGGAAAGGATCAGATACGAATGCAGCTGCTCCTCAGCACCTGCTAGGGTGTTCACAATCGCTGCAGCTCGTGCAGGCCTTGGGTCTTGCCAGTTAGTACATTATATGATACAATTCTGTGGTCCGTTTGAGGAGTGCAGTTGGTCCAACCATAAGCCATACCTTATGACATACCCTTTAATGCTCAAGAAGTGACTGGGGCAATGTTCCAGAGAGTGTATCCGCGAGATACCGCCTGTGAAAAATACGAATTTCGCAATAGCGCGTTATTCATTCCCCTGTTATCGTCACGCGCAATAGTCGTGGCGGGAACTGCACCCTACATCGTTGATGGGCTTAATTACTGTTTATGTCTTACTTTTGTCTAGTCTTCAACGTAAACGTCCAAATCTGCAGCACATTCCAAGCCGAGACACCAAACGGATCCGCCCGTCGTGCAGTGCATGTTGACTTGCAATGCGTAGAAGAGATGATGGATACGCCATGGTAACCCATATATGTATATATATATATATATATATATATGCATATATATACATATATATATATATGTATGTATATATACATATACCGAAATGTGTCCTGCATCTCACATATTGCATGCACTTCAACTTTTTTCCTTCGTTCAAGTTTTTCGTTCAATGCTTTTTCTCAAGTCTATTCAATTACTTAAGGAATCTAGAAGAATAACTGAAGATGTGAAATGCACATTGGTAATGCAAACTTTTTTCAATATGGTATGCGGCATGCCCAGTTACAGAAATCATCAGTTGCACTTGCGGAGGAATAGTTTTAATGCCTTGCAGTAAGACATACACGTTTGTTTGCGCGGACTGGGTAGAGAAGGTCAGTTATACAAGTACTCAATTCTCACCGGAATTCTTTCTGAGGATAACTGCAGGAGATATGCGAAGTACGCGCCACGCAGTATCGAACCGCATATTAAAGCGGGAAGTTCTGTATTGAGCGCACTGCCGGTTGGCATACCCCGAAGACTTATCGAGGCTGACTCGGCGGACACGTATGGCGAGTGTGCGCTGCAACGAACGTCGACGTTGGCAGTGTTTGATGGGTCACAGCCGTGGAAGCAGGATCCATCCGCATACATTGCCAAGGCGTGCGCAGAAGGGTCAGCACTCACTAACACTCTTCGTATTCGCCACCTCTCCTAGCGACTGGTTCCCCACCCAGCTTCCGCACCCAGGCAGTCCCGTACATTTATTTCAACTACATGGTTTGTTTACATATGGCGTAATTACGTATTGGTTGCTGGCCAGATTTGGCCAAGCCGTTGGCATTTTAGACGCGCAACAAGAATGGCTAGGGCTTGTGTGTATTTGAATCGGTTATTTCGGCCTGCGTTGCTCATAGCAGTTAACAGCTTTTGCTCATGTATAACGTGCCAGTAACTTCATGAGACAACAACAATGCAGCAAAACAGACTTGCTTGTTTGAGCGGATTGGGTGGAGGAGGTCAGTTATACAAGCACCGGTAATTCTATGGTAACCTCTGCAAAAATGCAGTGATAACGACGAGTGTGATTAGCCGCTAACCCTATCCGAGACAGCATATCAGAAAAACCGTATCATCTAAGCAGCTATGCCATTCTAGAAATATAAGCCGGAATTTAGCATCACTACGCGAAGGACAGAAGCGCCGTTTTTTGTACCGCCGTTGTGTGCCTTAAGTGTTTGAATGATGCAAACACCGTATCAAACGCGTTTATTTTTTATCTCAACCTAAATCGGTGTGCGATAATGCTATCTCCTCAGTATGCAATACATTTTACGCCACTTATCCATGTGTTTTCAACACCACTTGACACCAACAAACGCCAACCACAGCGCTAGAAAGCCAGTGATGTGTCTAGCGAAGCTTAAACGCAAGCTGGTGAAAAAAGAACAAGCGACATCAGTTTACAGGCTTTCCCCATAAAACAAAATGGGAAGAATTTGGGCACATTAACTTATCTTAAGTTTGACCAAACTGCGTTTAAAAAGTGGCCTGCTTTGAAGACTTTGATTTCGAAATGGCTAACTTCGCCAGCCTGCACCAGCATATTCACCCAACCTGGTCCAAAACGGCGACCACATGTCTCCTCCTCGGCCGTCTCATTTGGTCGCTAGCTGAGACACGCCCATTTTTTTGCAGCTGTTCCACGTGTGTCCGCCAAAGAACGTGCTGCGTAGCGGGGACCCGCGAGACCGGCCCACCACCTTCCTCTGCACACCGGGCTCGCTCTTCAACCAGGAGTACCGCGTCTGCGACTGGTGGTTCAACGTCCAGTGCGACAAAGCGCCCGAGTTCTACGCCGACAACAAGCTCTACTACAAGACCTCCATCACGTCCAACAGCCTGCTGCGGGACGCTAACATATAGTGGGAGCGGCTGCAACATGGCCGTCGCCGCTGACGACGCTGGTGGTGGTCTTGCGGACTAGTGTCCGCGCTGTCCCTACGGACTAAGATCTACAGCCGTCTTTGCGGACTAAAGCCAATTCAGCGCGTGTGATGCATTTCCTTGCTCGAATTGGGTGACCTTTGGGTAAAAGGAATGGTTAAGACAGCTGAAACCGAAGCGAGAAATGTCGGGGCTGGCGTCCATCACAGCGGGTGGCAAGACAAGACGTTGCGCGCGCCCTGGAAATGACCAGCTTCATTTTAACTTCAGTATTTGAGCGGCGCTGCAGCTGAAAACACCAGTGAAGTGCATGCAGTGATTTGCCATATACTACTACCCTAGGCCGGGCAGTTGATCGATCAGTTGATTTTGTAAAGGCCATATACAGGGCCTCCAGCTGCAATGAAAGTGCATGGTCGTCGGGGACACGCTCCACCAATGGCGACTGATGTGGGACATTCCTAGAAATCATCTGCCGCGTGATGGCTGCCTTGAGTTATGCTAATGTTTTAGCAAAGCGTATGCCTCATGGCAAGGCTTAGACCAGGCATCTGACGAGCTAAATCCCTATGTCTTGTGACCGGCCTTACATTCCGTTCCGCACAGCTAAACTTGGAGCTGCCAAAAATGTCATGCTCACTCGCGCAGTCCAGACATCAAGTGGGCGTTGTACAGATTGCACATGGTTTATGTATGCGGAAGTGAAAAAATGTTCGTACGGTCGATATATCAGTCCTTTGCAGGTTTTATCACATGTTCTTTGCAAGTGAACTCCATGCGTTTGTCACTACGTTGGCTGTTTTACTCACTAAGATGATTATGAATTCGAAATGTTATATCGCTCGAAAGGGATTTCAAAACCTTTCGGCGTGACACCTGCAACAGTGACGTTTCGCAACAACTTGATAATAAATATACTGTGATAAAAATACAGTGTGTAAGTGTGCTGATCGCGATTTCGGGTTCCACCGGTGATGTTTTGCCTAAATGTAGCCAAAGGATCATTTGAATAACAAAATTACGGCTAAGGATGACGTTGCGAATCAGAGGATCACGAGCCAGGGAGGGCGTACGCGGCCCATTCGTATTAATGCGGATTAGGTGTGTGAAAGTAAGTCTTGCTAGATAATGTAAAGCTTAAGTTAGTACAGAGGCTGAGTTGAGCCTCTTGCATTAAAGCTTACCTATCGCCCTCGCGCACTATTGGATTACAGTGTCATCATTTCACGCCGCTCGACTTCGCTCTGTCTCTGTCCTCTGCTCCTGCTGCTCGCTCCTCTGCTTCTGCGCCTCCAGCATCGTAGCAAACCACTAAAAATCGGGCTACCCAGCAAAGATCTCCTGTCAAAATCGATACAAGGGCTGATCTGTGAGAGCGATTTCTCACCGTGCGGAGGATGCGATGCTTTGACTGCGATCCATCTTGCACGACTGAAGAAGATCGCATTCCGCTGCAAATCGCGTGAAATCGTTTTTTTCAACGGCCGTCACCCGGTGGGCGCAACGATTTACATAGCCCTTGCAGCGCAACTCGCCGCGATAGGAACATTGCATCACAGTGCTAGAGCCCACCAACAGCGTCTGATCGGATGAAGGCCAAAGACTGCGTTGTGTCGCGAGCAGCAGCGTTGGCGACAGGCGTGCTGAATACCAGAGCCTCTAACTGTTTGTGTGATCAGCAGAGGATGTAGGCTGCATGCCGGGCAGGCCGAGGCATCCCATCAACTGTCAGCTGGAGAGCAGACTGCTGGTCTCAGTGCCAAATACCTGGCTGACTTTCAGAAGTTGTTCGGACAAAAAGTCGAATGGGAAAAGTCTTACAGAAATAAGTCGAATGACAAAACGTCAAGGGGACTAAAACTCGACTGAGATAAAATTGGGATGGGAAACATTGAAAGGAAAAAATGTAAAACACATAAATATTGGCAGGGATTTAAGCATAACTGAAAAAGTTGGACGCAAAAAGTTCGACAAGGATGAAATTATTATAAGAAAAAGTCGAATTGAAAAAAGTCCAGGAACTCAAGGTTAGAGAGATTTAGATCCACGGGGTTAAGTTAAAACAAGTAAAAAGACGAAGAGTCCAAAAGGAGAGAAGCCAGCAGGAAGTCCACGAGGAAGTACTGAGTACTTTTGATCACGCCTTCGTTGCGACAAGTACACCTTGAAACACCGAGCACCGACAAAATAATAAATCCTAAAAAGTTGACAGGATGAAGGATGAAAGGATGATATCGGATGAAGGCTGAGGACTACGTTGTGTTGCGAGCAGCAGTGTGGGCGGCAGGCGTATATATATATATATATATATATATATATATATATATATACATATATATACATATATGCAAATATATGCGGAATCCCGTCTGCATATGCATATATATATATATATATATATAAATATATGTATATATAAACTGCGTTCCGAGGGCCTCACTACAATTTGCGTAGTGCTGTCCTGTCCCGGCCGATAGCATCATGCTCCGTCCAATGCCGTCCGGCGCCGGTCTGGACCCGGGTTTCTCCTCAAATTCGACCCGTTTTCTTCTGAAAGTTGGCAGGGTGGTGGGGGCTCCAGCCCCCCCCCCCTTTTACACTGGCAGGGAAACTACACCCCCCGCCCCCTCCCCCCTCCCCCTGTTCGGTATTATGAGTTCAGAGCAAAGGCGCAACTTTTTCCAGCATGTCAGCCCGCAGCCCGGCCCATTCCGGCCAGCTAATTATCCAGCCCGCCAAAACGTGTTGTGCTGCAATGCTGACCCACCATTAATCCGCAAGTATCAAGCTATTCCAATCTGCATCTGGTTGTTTCTCCTTAATTTTAGATCTATACATTTCTCTGTGCACAACATGACATGCCAGTGTCAATCTAAAGCACAACGCCGTTTACCAGTCATATAGCTTAGAAAGCAGCGACCAAAGTACCTAGACAATTAAAGTTATATTGTGCCAGAGTTGATATAAGGCACGGTGATGACCATTTTCAACAACAAGCGATGATAAGTAGGGTGTAATTTGCATATTCCGCCGCCGAAATGTACCAGAGATTTCATCCGTCTGCATAATATCAAAAGACCACAGACAATGCGTTCTTAAATGACATACGTCCATGGATGTAAGAGCAGGGGGACACGGGGCCATAATCTCCACTTTTTAAGGTGTGGAGCAGCAGTGTTGGCTGCCCCCTCCCCCACAGCTTTCAGGTTAAGGATGTGTCTGGGTGCACTACATTAATCATACATACCGATCTACCTAGCTCACCAGCCATCTTCCTCAAGATGGGTCATCTTTTTCGTTGGCCCATTGGTCATCGCTTAGTGTCAAGGCAGCAGGGCCGACAGCGCGCGGCTTACGGAGACTGCAGCGACGGGCACCGAGGCTGCTGTTGCTGGAACTTACGAGCGCGCATGTTCTAACCCACATTACATAATTTTTATCAGTAATCAACTCTGACTGAACCTTGAGCATTTTAAGACGAACATGGACTAGCCGTGTTAATACAAATCTGGGACCCCATTTCATCTGCAATCTACGCTCAGAGAATCCTTAATATCTCTGAAGAACACGGAACAAATATGGATCTGGTGTCTATATGACGATTACTGGACCACCTGCGGCGATCAGAGATGTTGTTGCGTCAATGAGGATCCCTGTGACGATCCGGTGCCAACTGCGCGGGTTAAAAGGCCTCCCATGTCAGGGAGGGGAACAATTTGATATGATATATTCTTCTAATATCCTCCGGATCGACCAATGGATCCCGCCCCGTGTCGCCAGAATGATAGCCAGAAGACACTTGGTGATGAGACGGCATGGCCCTTCCGCCCTTGGCCGGAAATGGTAATGTGCTCCTGGTGTTCTACTCAAGGGGCCCCATGCCTGAATAGAAATAGGGGTCTCATTATTGTTGAGTAGAGTGGGGGTCTCATTATCTTTGAATACAGTCGGTCGAAATGAGTTTTAAAAAGTGGACAAGACCATCTTATGTTTGCCTGAAAACGTTAATTTTTCCGAAGGGATTGGTGAAACAAGTTATTTAAAAAGTTTGAACATGCCCGCCCGCAACCTCGAGAGCAAGGACAGCGATGGTCTTTGTTGCAGCTTCCGTAAAACGGAACGGCATCGGCCACTGCAATGCCATCAGACGGCGGGCACCGTGTTAATATGTCTTCTGGACAGATTGATGCTTACGGAAACACGAAAAATAGAGACTCTGCCTCTACGCTTTCAGTTCCATCAGCTTTAAGGGCCAATTCGTTCTTATGATCAATTTAAAAATCGCACACGTGAAACATGCGCCAAGACTGCCTTCTAAATGTAAGATTTGATCCTGAAGCGCTCAAAGGTACTTCTTTGAGAAGCGTTATCATTTTCATCCACCCATTGGCCACGGCTTAGTATTTGCTGAGCCAACGCTGCGCGGCCTACGGAGACTGCAGCGTCTGACATCGAGGTTTTGTGACGTAGATTTGCGAATGCGCATGCTCAAAATTGCTTCACATGACCTGTATTACTAATCAGTTCAAGTGTTTAAAGGTAGTTATTTCAGGAGCATCACCATTTTCGTCCACCGGTGGGTCACGGCTAAAGATAAACCACCGGATTAACGCTCCGCCGACTATGGAGACTGCAACGCCTGATGTCAAGGTTTTCGTTGCGAAGATTTGCGAGCGCGCAATGTTAAAAGATCACGCTGCATGAATTGTATAATTAATCGATTCTGATTGAATGTTGAACATTTTCAGACAAATATGGCTTGGCCACGTTAATACACATTGTTGACCACTCGATCTACAATCAAGTTTTCATCTTCAAATTGGAAACATGCCGATCTATAACTGTTTGGGAAGAGTCCGCTAAACAATTGTAAATTAACGGCGCCGGTGAGCTATTTCATGCGCTCGTTAAACGCCTGATTTCTGCACTTTATTGACTCCAAAATACAAACAGAATTGATCTCACCGTAACGAAACAAAGAAACCGGTCTCCCTTGTCAACACCTGAGCTATATCCAGGATCTTTTTGGAAGGGGTCACCATAGGAGGGGCTTTTTCAACCCTGCGTTCCCCTTGTTAAGGCTCTGGCTACGCCCCTGCCAACACACAAAAGCAGATCAAGTCGTCTTCGTTAGATTAAGGGCAATAAACTGCCCGTTAGGCCAACTCCTACGTAAGGCAGGCAGCTTCCCGGAGGTTTTTTCCTGCGGTGGTGTGGTGTAGCGGAAGATAACTCGGAAAAAATGTTGTTGCAGGTGTGCAAAATATGTTTCACTCACCAGTTAGTAGAAATGATGATCCCAAAATATGGAACAAAGCGGCCATATGATCAGTTTGCAATCTGATATACGGGAGACAGATGGCGGCGGACGGGAGCAGGGCTCAGATGGGGAGTATATGACAGAACGACCTTCATTCTACGGCTTGGTTTTTTAAGGAAAATCTTCAGTTTTATGGTTTTTGTCACATCGTTTTTGGCAGTTTCAAGCTTCCGAATTTGTTTCTTCCTTAAGTGCTGCGACAAGTCTTATCTCCTGAAAAGCAGCCAGTGAAAAAAGGTGCATGAAAAGATCTGTCGCACTATAAGCCATTGATCCACTTTCAAAATTTTCACCAGCCTATGTTCATGCCTTCGGGTATTTTGGTACCTACACTGCGCAGGCAGATGCCTTCTTAATCACCCAAAATGACTACCCGCTCGTGGAATTTCGCCTCCGCAGGAAAGACAATGTTCCAATGGACGAATAATCTTGGGAAAATGGATAGCCTTATTTGCTGACTGCCATAGATGAGTCGAATAGGCAAGATTGTGGACCAGTAAAAAACAACTCTGACTGTATTTAGCATGGGCATGCCATCTAAATAAAGAGTGATAACAACCTCCATCTCAAACCCCTCATCCCGGTCTTCAGGGTTGCTTTCCAGAAAAAGTTCCTCAAGTA